GCGGCGCCGGTACATGCGCGCTGTAAGTCTACCGCGGCCTCCTTTCGGCGCGTGCGCACTTCTGTGCGCTGTTACTCGCTCCCCTCCCCGCCCGCGTGCACATGCGCAGTACCCATTATAGAGTCAGGCGCATGGTGGAGCCGGGAGAGTCCCTCCGGCAGCCACGTGACCGCGTGGTACCCACAAGCAGCCGGCCCCGTGAACCCACGTGACCACATGGTAGCCACAGGCAGCTGGCCCCATGAACACAAGAGGAACTGGAGATTGCTGGGGAAGGACAGGGGGGCTGGGCCAGGCAATGACTTTTCAGACAAGAGGTCTGGAGCTAGGACCAACAGCCTGAGGAGGGTGATAGAAATGTAGCAGTGTTAGTCTGCTGTAGCTGGGAAAGAGGATGGGACCAGGAACTAGAGCTGGGGAAGAGATTGGACTGTGAATGGGTCAGAAGAGGTCAAGCCCTTGGGCAACGTGTATCAGAAGCAGGGGAAGGCACTGCCTTCCCAAACTGCCAACTGTGGCCCCACCCTCATTTCATTCCCTGCTTCAGGGCGCCTGGGCTTCAGACATGCTGAGAATGAGATTATATGCGGCCCTGCTCTGCCTGTGCTCCGGGGCTGGGGAAATTCACCCGAAGAAGGAGCAGGAGCTGGACACTTGCCCCTACTCTTGAAGGGGGAGCCTCGGAATCCATGCAAGGATAAGAACTTTTTCTGTAGCCGTACGGGAAGGCCTAAAGCAGGGGTGGGCAATAATTTTTTACCAGGGGCCACTCCCAAGATTTTGGAAAGTGGTCAAGGGCTGCACTCTTCCATGATATTAATGGAGATGCGGGGTCTGGGATGGAGGCTGGGTGAAGAAGGGAACTTGGGGTAAAGGATTGGGTGCAGGAGGGAGCCTGGAGTTTGGGAGAGAGTTAGGATGAAGCAAGTGGTTGTGACTTCGGGCAGGGGACTGGACTGCAGGGGGTTGGGGATGTGATCTAGGGTAGGAGGGGATTGTGATCTGGTGCAGGAGATTGGGGTGCCAGATCTGAGAGGGGGTGTGGGTGTAAGAGGGAGACAGAAGGTTTGGATATGTTAAGTGGGGGAGGGGCAGAGAGTTGGGGCAGGAAAGGGCTGGGGTGCCAGAAGCAGGCTGTGGCCAAGAGACTTACTTGTCAGCTGCCAAACTAGCCTGCCTGCCTTCCTGCAGAGCTTAAAATGTTTCCCAGCCAACCTGCCTGCCTGACCATGTGCTTCATGAATATGAGACTATCTGACCCTAGGAGAGGGGGCGTGATTCATCTTAGCTGCCTGTTATTCTAACAAGCAGCTCCCATTGGTTGGTTTTTGCCAGAAACCGGCCAATGGGAATGTGCTGGAGGCAGGATGGCTCTTAAAACTTCCCCCCTTCCCTCCAGTTTTAAAACAGAAATGGCGCCTTGCCAGCCACGTTTCCGCCTAGCACGTGGGGCTAGCTGGGGAGCCTGCCTCTGCGGGCTGGATCCGATGGCTTGGCGGGCTGTATTTGGCCTGCGGGTCATATTTTGCCCAGGCCTGCTCTAGGTCCCTGGCAGTGGGAGGAGATTTCTCATACTCCCCCCACCCCCAGCCGATCAGGCTTGGGGTAGTGGGGAGCACACAAAATCTCCTCCCACACTGCCCCCTTCCTGAAATGTTAGCATGGTGCTCTGAAGTGCTGTGTGTTTCCTACAGGACAGGAGCAGGGCAGGAGGAGACATTGTATGCCCCTAGCCCCACCCCCAAGCCCTGATTGACCGGAGGGTGGGGGGAGTGTGTGAAGCCCCTTGCTCCATGCCCTTGGCACTTAAAGGGCTGCATACTCCCTGGTCTCTAGGCCCTGATTGGCCTGGGAGTGGAGTCACAGCAGGGCCTCCATGGGCCGGATCAACCCATTTAGTGGTCCAGATCTGGTCTGTGGAGGCCTTTTTGCCCACCCCTGACCTAAAGCCTCTGGGCTTCATCTGCAGCTAGACTGAAAGAGCAGCAGCCATTAGCTGATAGCAGGAAGTCGCATAGGGTATGACTACACTTGCACCCTCTTTCGAGAGAGGGATGCAAATGCAGCTGAGCAAAATTGCAAATAAAGTGCGGATCTGAATTTCCCACACTTCATTTGCATAATCGTGATCCGCTGCTATTTCAAAATACCCTATTTCGAAATAACAAACGCTGTGTAGACACGGTTATTTTGGGAGAAAACCCTTCTTCTGAAATAACCGGTAAACCTTGTTGTATGAGGAATAAGGGTTATTTTGGAAGAAGGGTTTTCTCCCGAAATAACCATGTCTACACAGCATTTGTTATTTCGAAATAGGGTATTTCGAAATAGCAGCGGTCTGCAATTATGCAAATGAAGCACGGGTAATTCAAATCCTCGCTTCATTTGCAATTTCGCTCAGCTGCACTTGCATCCCTCTCTCGAAAGAGGGTGCAAGTGTAGACATACAATTTAGATGGAATGAAAGTATGGGTATTAAAATAGTTTAATATCAGGCTGTTAAGAAGGAGATCCTGTCCTAATGGCACCCAATATCACAAGATAAAGAAACAGATCTCAGGATGGTTAAAGAAAAGTAGTTTCTTGCTAGACAAAATTAAGTTCAGGCTGGTAAGAAGGAGATCCTGTCCTAATGGCACCCAATATCACAAGATAAAGAAACAGATCTCAGGATGGTTAAAGAAAAGTAGTTTCTTGCTAGACAAAATTAAGTTATCAATAAAAACAGTGAACAGTCCTCTGGCACTTAGAGACACCTTCTTGCTCTCTGGGGCTCTCCACCATCCTGTCCTTCTGGGCCAGATTCTCTGGTCTCCCCCAGATAAGGCACAGAGTTGTGGTATCTACCCCTCCTGAAGACCAATGCAGACACTGAACCACTTCAGCTCTGGGAGAATGTAGTTCTGAGGCACAGCACTCAGGAATCTTGCCCCCAAAAGGGATCAAAACCGGAAATAAATCCATCTGTTTCTGAGTAAAAG